TGTTGATTGGTGGACTTAATGAGTTTCCTATTCTTAACTCTTGTACTAGAAAAATATAAAAAGCACAACTTTATTTCTGGTATATTGAATGGGTACATTTTTAATACAACTTCTGTAAACGGTGATAACAAAAAAGGTGCATGCATTAGGTTAGCCACATATCTTAAAAAAACACTACTTTTTCTAACATGCAGACATTACATATATAAAAGACATAAACCGCTGACATGACATCGCTGGAACATTTATCTGAGCAGCAAATTATCTGAATAATCTTTTGTTGAAGAAACATGAAAAAATTGGAACTAATTAATTAAAAATCTATTGTGTAATATGTATTGTTTAATAGCTGGCTGCAGGAACAGTTTAAGAAGATCTAATTGTTTTCTCAAAAACAATAAAACTTTCTTAAACAAAAACAATGGAGATGCTATTAAAATTCTGAGCATACAGTCTGTAAAAAAAAGTTTCTTATGGTTTTGTTTTGATATAGTGTTATTTAAGATAAGTGCAAATCTGAATATCTGAAACTAGCAGAATTGACAAATCATCTTTTTTTTATCTTTCTTGGTATATACCATGGCCTACTATATAACACAGCCGAATTTGTTGTCTTAAAGGCAAAAAATTAGTGGACTGAAAAAATATTGGTTTGAAGCTACAAATAAACTAGAGATAAGAATGGAACCCTTATTATAAAGTTCGATTCTGGTATCAGGAACAGCCAACAACTTTCTAGCAATCAATGTCATCGTCAGAAGCTTTGATTCAAGATCATTATCTTTCCAGAATTGCAATGCATCACATGCTGTCATGGACAGTGCCAAGTGTTTACCAAATACATATCATGAGCCATTACTGTTAGCCTTAGACAGAGGAGTTGTAGCTGTTTCAAAGTCTGTCAGCAAATCATACAATTTACAGTCAGCTTTACTCTTTTTTGAAGGAGGTAGTTGAACTGAATGACTGCATTTACTAAAGCTGTTCATACCTGTACTGCCTGAGTCCTTATGTATCACCTTAGATTTTTATGAAAAATAACTTTGTCAACTATACTATGCATCTCAAAGTTGCAATCTTCTACATTGATGAAAGACAAATAGTATTAGACAAATTAGAAAAGTATATATATATATATATATATATATATATATATATATATATATATATATATATATATATATATATATATATATATATATATATATATATATATATATATATATATATATATATATATATATATATAGATATATATATATATATATATATATATATATATATATATATATATATATATATATATATATATATATATATATATATTAGGGTGGCTCTTAAAACAACTTTTTTGAGAAAAACCTGCTCCCACCCCCTAAATGTGTTTTATCTAATACAAAAACACTAGGATTACATTTTTTTTTTGAATAAAAATTATTTTAAGGGGTCCAGCAAGACCCTTGAATATTTAATGGGTCCCTAACATTTCCAAAAAAAAAATATGTCAACCTGGTACTGAAATGAAGCAAAATTATATAAAAATTTCAAAAATAATATTCATTTTGAAAAAATTTCAACTTATTAAAACTATCATTAAAAAAATTTTTTTTTAATATTTGCGTTTTTTTTATCTTTTGTTAAAAAAACGCAATTTTTTATGTAATAAAACTAAAAATAAAATTTTTTTATCGGAATGAATATTATTTTCTCTTTACTTGAGTACCAGGTTGATATATTTTTGAAAATATCAGGGACCCATTAAATATTCAAGGGTTTTGGGGGACCCTGAAAATATTTTTTATCCAAAAAAAAATTAAATCTAGTGTTTTTGTATTAGATAGAACACATTTAGGGGGTGGGAGTAGATTATTTTCAAAACTGTTGTTTTTTGGTACACCCTAGTATACATACATGTATATATATATATATATATATATATATATATATATATATATATATATATATATATATATATATATATATATATATATATATATATATATATATATATATATATATATATATATATATATATATATATATATATATATATATATATATATATATATATATATATATATATATATATATATATATATATATATACTAGAGCATGATTAGGCACACTTTTTCGACTTGTGTGTTTTTCTTCAACTTAAAACAGCATTTTATATATTTCAAATGCGTATAATAGCACTTCCGTTATAATATATATATATATACGCCCTTATATATATATATATATATATACATATATATATATATATATATATATATATATATATATATATATATATATATATATAATATATATATATATATATATATATATATATATATATATATATATATACTAATTTTAATAAGCTAAAACAACACTGGTTTAATAACACTTGGTTTAATAATTTATTGGTTAGGCATTTCTTTACTTGAAACATAACTGGTTATTTTTTTTTATACTAACATTGCACTTTATATTCTTTTGTTAAAATGATATTACCTTGAGGGTTTTGGTGTTCAAATTTTTCCATTTCACATAGTGTGTCAAACACCAAATCTTTGGGACTAATTTGAAATATGCCTGTTTTGGTAAAACCATTATCATAGTGCTCTTGACAACTCTTTGCTATTCCTGCAGCTAAAAATACATATAAAATATTGAAGTTTGCAATTTAATAACAAAAGATTTTTTGTAGCTCAAGTTTGGCATTAAAATATGAATATGATTTCTTATTTTAGATTTTTAATTTGTACTATTCATGAATATTTTTGGAATGTAATGATAACCATTCTAGAATATAATGTTAACTGTCATAAAACCAGTTTACTCGTGAATTCAAAAGGTTAATTGCTGCTGAAAAAAAAGAGGTTATATTATTGGGAGGACACAGAAAAATCCAATTTAAATACCTCTTAAGGCAGTATTCAAATTAATCCTACCTAGTTAGAAGCATTAAATTTCATATTTAATTTCATAACTAATGAAAATTCAATAAATTTATATATATATATATATATATATATATATATATATTATATATATATATATATATATATATATATATATATATATATATATATATATATATGCATATATATATATATATATATATATATATATATATATATATATATATATATATATATATATATATATATATATATATATATATATTGTTGGACGAAAATTATTTAATCGGTTAGGCTATCACAGTATCCCTAAAGACTTACAAACTAACTAACTAGTAAAGACATATAATATTAAATCTAATAATAAACTCTTGGTCCTAATGATAGAGAAAATATAAATTTTTGCCGAAGTGCGCCTATAAGTAATATAGTTTTTCGTTGATTCTTTAAGTCAATTTACTCAGACTTACCACTTTATATATTTTATATAAAATATATTATCAGACTTTCACTGTTTTTCACTGTTTGCTGAGATTAGAAATACTTCTTTAAAAACGAAGTTTGCACATATAATAAAACAAGAAAGTGTAATTAGCTGGAGGATGATGTAATTAGCTGGAGGAAGATCTCCCTCCAGCTAATTACACCTCATGGATTTTTATTAGTCTTGAGACTACAGACTAGCTAGATAGAGAACGCACATTTTTAAAGAACATTTTTTGGCAAGGAACTTATTAAACTTCTTCAGGATTTCATTTTGTGTAGTCGTATTTTTGCCAGATTTAAAAAAGATAGCAATTTATAAATATAGCTCTTGGTAAATAACTGAGACTTTTACTTTAACTTAAAGTACACGTAAGTAACTTAAAGTTTAAGTATTTTGAATTTTTGGCGCACGCTTGGGACGACATTTCTGTAGCAAAATGTGAAATCATTTTGGATGGAAAATATTAAAACGCGTTATACGCTATTCACACAAAGGTAAATTTTTCGGAACATTCCGTGGAACATGGAACGTTAACAAATTAACTCACATGCGAAAGCAAAATTCACGAAACATTTGAAGAACTTTTGCACCGTCCCGCCAAATAAATGTTCCGGAATATTTATTAGTTTTTGTCACTGATCTCAAAATATAACTTTATATATAATTTAAAATAATATAAAATATAACGTTATATTTTAAGATCAGTGGTTTTGTATAAAAAATGGTGGCCGTGGAAAGCCTAGCGAAAGTCAGTAGCGGAAAAATAAAAGTTATCCTACGGAAAGTTTTTTTCATTGGTGGAGAATATCACATGTCAAAATAAACTTTATTTTGTTATATCGTAAAATGAAAAAAAATTTAACTTAGGATTTTTAAAAAAAAAACGAAAAAAATGTGAAAAATTAAATAGGGTTTTCCATTAAATAAATAGACTGCCAGCCCATACCAAAACCCTTGGTCAATGGATGTACACTCAACTGGACCTATCTCTAAATTAGTAAATGTATGTACACTTCACTGCGCCTATTCCTAAGCTAGTATATGTATGTACATTTCACTGCGCCAATCCCTTAGCTAGTAAATGTATGTACACTTCACTCCGCCTATTCTTAAATTAATAAATAAATGTACACTTCACTGCGCCTATCCCTATATTTTTAAATTCATGTACATTCCTCGGTGCCTATCCCTAAATCAGTCAATGTATGAACACTCTATTGCTTCTATTAATGTATGAACATTCATTGTGCTATTTTATTATAATGATTTTCTTAATCAACTACTGTAAAATATTTTTACAAGGTAAAAGTACACACAAAAAAATTGTTTAAACTTTGAAAGGAAGAAAAGAAATCATTTTGGAATGTTTTCTTCTAGAGTTTGCTTGAAAATGTTTCTCTGTTCTTTTTATGTTCCACCAACCTAATGAGTATTTCAATTTTTTCTCAATGTCTTTTGGAATTTTAACCCCCACCACCACAAAACAAATTCTGTTTTTTTTATTCTTTAATTTTTCAAAATTTAATCCACTAATATGGCACACCTTCTGGACATCTTCTACAAAAGATTTCTTTACCATCGGATTTTTAAGCTAAGATTGAATAATATCATTCGTCGATTTGTTATCCAAAAGACGAATAAAAAAGTTCAATTTATTTTGGTGAATAGATTTTAATAATTTTAAATAACCGGTGTAAATAATTTTTGCAATGTTTTGAAAGTTTGAAAAACAATTTTTTTATGCGTTCCCTCCGATTATGTCTAGGTTTTGCATTGTTACGTTGTTGGTTTTACAAAGTTCCAGACCGTAAGTTAATTTTGGTACTATCAAGGTTTGATATAATTGTGTGATGGATTTTGGATGAGCAAAACAGATTCCAGATTGAGTAAGAGTTTGGACAGCTGCCCTAAAATTAGATATTTCTTCAGCAATGTTTACCCGATCAAGTGAGGCAAATGTAGAGTGTTCCGTATCCCATGTAAACCCTAAGTGTTTTCATCTATTGTGTAAGTTTATTTGATTACCATCGAGAGATATTGAGCAATTTTGTAACTGTCTTTTACCTGTCAGGAGGTTTAATTTTATGCAATTTGAGTTGCATTACACATTAAAAATTTTGATTAATTTTTCCAGACTAGATAGAGTTGAGCTTAAAAGTATAATATCATCAGCATACGCTACCACACCAGTAAAGAGGCCATATATAGACGTACCTATATTACTTTTATTTTTAATGGTTTTGAGAAGGTCTTGGGTATAAATGTTATAAAGATACGGCGATATAATTGAACCTTGTCTGACTCCTTGTTAAAGATAAAATTTATTTGATTTGCAACCTTGGTATGAGACAGTTGCACTGCTATTATAATATAATGAAAAGATTATCCTAACTATATCCAAAGGTAGTTTTCATCGAATTACAACTTATCAAAGAGAATTTCCCAGTTACAGCTATCAAAGGCCTTTCCGGCATTCAAGGAGCAGGTGTATTTAAACAAAGTGAAATAATCAGGTGAATTTTTACTATTATAATGTTTAATAGTTTCACTAATTACAAATTATGTAATTAGTGAAACTATTAAACATTATAATAGTAACAATTATGTAACTGGATCTCCGGACATGTTATTAAAATCAGATATTCTAGAATTTTTGTAAAAATAGGTATTATACTAATACCTCTATAGTTGTTTGGGTTTACCAAGGACTTTTTATATTATTTAACTAGTCGTATAATGATAGATGAAGACATTAATTTTGGAGCCCAACCATAATTGATTGAGAAATTAGAAAAATTAATTAGCCATTGTGTCAATGCGTCACAATTTATTTCAAATGTTTAACTGAGATACCAAATGAGTTGCTAGACTTGTTTGATTTTAAGGCAGAAATAGTTACTTTAATATTTTGTTCGGTTATTATTACATTATCATGCTTTGTGCACAATGGGATTTTTTGAGTTTTATTGCTTTGGGTTATTCGAGGAGTGTTTAACAACTTTTAAAACATATTTTCAAATTCTGTGGTGATAGTTTTGTTATCCTTTTTATTGTTTATTGTAAATAATCGTGAGTTTGTATCTTTTTTTATACTTCTAAATGCATTCCAAAAGTTTTTTGGTTTGATATTTTTAGCTTTTCGATTACAACGTATTGCTTGTAGAGTTTATTGTTTTGAGCTAACTTAACGGCTGTTCGGAAGATTTTTTAGAGCCATTTTATACATATTATAAGTCATAGAATTAGAACATTTTGGAAACCCGGTAACTCTCCATTTTTGAAAATGATACAACAAAACCTTTTTATTTCAACTTAAATCAGGAGCCCACCAGGGTTTGGAAGAAATAGATTGTTTTTTCTGGTTGAGGTATTTGCAATGAACTGCAGTTGCACTTTTGATAATGATTTTATAAATTTTGTTTAGCTCGTTTTCATAACTGCCAGTTGCGAGGTTCACGTTATTAAAATCAGCATTTAGGTGGTCATTGTATGAGCCTAAAAAAATGTTGTTACTCCAGGCATAACTTGGACTATAACTTTTTTCTCCTGTTGTCTTTTCAATATTTTCTTGAGAATTGCAACAGATAAGTTTAATAGAGATTGATATTGGTAAGCGATCGCCCATATTTTGAAAGGAGGGAGGATTAACACTACATTTGTAATAAATAAGAGATTTATTTTTGGTATGATATTAGTATGTATATGTGGGACCAGAGCCTTTAGTTACATCAACTAAGTCTAGGTAATTTAATTCCATAAAGTCCGATAAAACCTCCGATTAATTGTTTTTCTCAGGACTTGATCTTTTTAATAGGTCGTATATTCCGTTGGAAACGATTGGAAATCACCAAGCACAATAATTTTACCATAATTTTCATAGCTTATTATAAGTCCTTTTATTATGTCCAGCTGACTTTTGTATTCCTCCAGCGATATTTTATTGTTATGTGATGAAGATAGGTAAATACCAATGATAATGATGCTGGTATGATTTTTAGTTAATTTTATTATAAATATATAAAATATATTAAATATATCTTTGTAGATAATTGTAATATTTTGAAATAATTCTCTCCGGACAAAGAATGCATTTCCGCCAAATGGTCGGCCATGTGCGTATTTATTTGCTTGGTGAAAATAAATAGTGAGAATTTTTATATATATTTGCTATTAATGAGTATTCAAGCTTCGATAGCCAATGCTCGCATACAAAAGTTATACCATGAGTAGTTATAATAGAA